ATGTAGATAGTCAAGAGTGTAGCGTATGTACATAATTCTGTAGTGTATGTACATAATTCTGTAGCGTATGTACATAATTCTGTAGTGTATGTACATAATTCTGTAGCATATGTACATAATTCTGTAGTGTATGTACATAATTCTGTAGTGTATGTACATAATTCTGTAGTGTATGTACATAATTCTGTAGTGAGTGTACATAATTCTGTAGTGTATGTACATAATTCTGTAGTGTATGTACATAATTCTGTAGTGAGTGTACATAATTCTGTAGTGTATGTACATAATTCTGTAGTGTATGTACATAATTCGGCAGTGTGTGTACATAATTCGGCAGTGTATGTACATAATTCTGTAGTGTATGTACATAATTCTGTAGTGTATGTACATAATTCTGTAGTGTATGTACATAATTCGGCAGTGTATGTACATAATTCGGCAGTGTATGTATATAATTCGGCAGTGTGTGTACATAATTCGGAAGCATATGTACATAATTCTGTAGTGAGTGTACATAATTCTGTAGTGTATGTACATAATTCTGCATGCATGTACATAATTCGGCAGTGTGTATACATAATTGGGCAGTGTATGTACAAAATTCGGCAGTGTATGTACATAATTCGGCAGTGTATGTACAGCAGACCGTCATTTGGCACTATATAATTTGGCACAATTTGGGTATTACAGGATTGAAGAATTACGCCACAATTTTATATAACATGTTGTATAATTAATTTAACATGGTTCAGTTTGTGGGAAGAAAAAAAAATTCTCTTTTGCTGAAGCCGCCGCCTTGTTGTGGAGCAGCGTGGAAGCCGCCGCCTTGTTGTGGAGCAGCGTGGAAGCCGCCGCCTTGTTGTGGAGCAGCGTGGAAGCCGCCTTGTTGTTGTTGAGCAGCGTGGAAGCCGCCGCCTTGTTGTGGAGCAGCGTGGAAGCCGCCGCCTTGTTGTGGAGCAGCGTGGAAGCCGCTGCCTTGTTGTGGAGCAGCGTGGAAGCCGCCGCCTTGTTGTGGAGCAGCGTGGAAGCCGCCGCCTTGTTGTGGAGCAGTGTGGAAGTCCTCCCGTCATCCCTTACCACTCTCGGACACCACCCCACCATCCCAGCGTTCGTAATTCATACTGTCCAGTCCAGTCTTTCTCTGCTACTAGGCAGCTGTGTTCGTGAATTGTGTTATGATATTTTAACCCGTAAACGGTCCAAACGTATATATACGTTCACTACCCCAGTGCCCTGAATATTTTGAAAAATAAAAACATCTTTTTTTTTTTTAAATGAAAATAAAAAGCACATTTTTCTAAGTGTTATAAGATAAAAAAAATGAAGGTCAGTACTTACTGAGATATGAGGCCGAGAAGTTGGCACTGGATGCTCACCTGACAGCAACATGGAGTCCTGCCGCTTGCATAAGTGTTGCCGTTATACCTTTTTATCTATTTTTCATATTATTCTATATAATTTTTATGTTCTGATAATTACAATTTATAGTAGTTCTTGTCATTTCATAACCAATCTTTGTTCTGACACTAATATTAAGTACTGAAATTGTACTCAAATTGTCACAAATACACTGACAGATGGACACTTACATCTGCCTTGGTCATTTACTATTGTCTTGGAATATATACAAAGTATTTATATGTCCCAGCAATGTTTTGGATATGTGGAAGTATTTAATAATAATGAGGAGGAGTAGGAGAAGGAGGAGGAGGAGAAGAATAAGTAAGAATAATAATAAGTAATAATAAGTGCCCTTGAAGCATGAAAAACAAAGTCTACTCCTGACAGTGACAATATGAGACGACATAACATTTGATAAGCATGCACGAGGGTGCAGTGATAACGCTTGATAAGAAAAGAATAGACGCGACATTTTGATGAGTATCAGCTTTGTTTTCGCTGGTACACAAACATGTCTGTCTGTCTGCCAAGCACCCTGTCTATCTGTCTATCCGTCTAGCTCTCTGTCTCAGAGAGAGCCACAAGTCTGCGCCATCACGTTTACTCATATCTTCAAGCAGAGTATAGCACTTTGTCTGGATTTTTGGGGTTATCTTAGGTAATTTATACTACGTATACTTGTATTTATGTGTACCTGTGAGACTGAGATAAACAGAGACAGATTGAAAGAGATAGACAGACAGAGACAGATAGAGACAGAGACAGATAGGCAGAGACAGACAGAGACAAAGACAGATAGTGATAGACAGAGATAGACATAGACACAGACAAACAAACAGAGCCTGGCAGCAGGCCAGCCATGCAGCTGGCCAGCCAGCAGGCCAGTCAATCAGCCAGTCGGCCAGCAAGCCAGCCTGTTAAACTAGTATTATGTTCCAGAATTGTTTCTGTTTACTTAGGGCATATGTTATAAGACATTCTGAAAGGATGTTGCACATGGGTTATTATCGAGGTTTTTTATATTTCCTCGACCACGTCCACCTCAAAGCCACTAAACTCAGGGTCAACATCACTTTCCTCTTGAAATGGGGGAGTTAATACTACATGAAATCCGTGAATCACAAGTGTTTGCCGTGCTGTTTTCTCTAGCTGGCGCTCAGTTGTGCCCCCACAAGGTACTCCAGATTTTTTTAATACAATGCACACTGAGTGTTATGACCAATTCTATGCAGACAAGGCATCTCAGGCCAATCATGCCATATTTGAAGGCAGGAAAATAAAATGTTTATATACGTTTAGGGCATTAGCGGTAAGAATGGTAAGTACGTTTGGACCGTTTACGGGTTAATTATTATACTATGCATCTGCCAAGCAATCATGACACCCAGTAGTCATACCACTGTTGCTGAAAGTGCCACGAAGAGGTATAAGCATATAAGTCTTAGAATTAATAAAGATACAAAGATATTAGACAAGAGACAACCTGTAGCCGCAATGAAGTGTTACTTTGTACACAGAAAAAAGAGGTAAACATGGGTTTGTGTGACTAACTTACTGAATGAGTGACTGAAGGATTGACTTAATGACTGACTGAACTGACTTACTGATTGACTTGACTGACTTACTGAGTGACTTGACTGACTTACTGAATGATTTGACTGACTTATTGAGTAACTTGATTTAATGAATGACTTATTCAGTGACTTGACGGACTTACTCAGTGACTTCACTAACTTACTGAATGACTTGATTGATTTACTGAGTGACTTGACTGACTTACTGAATGATTTGACTGACTTACTGAGTGACTTGATTGACTTACTGAATGACTTAACTGACTCACTGAATGACATGACTTACTAAATGACTTGACTGACTTACTGAATGACTTGACTGACTTACTGAATGACTTAACTGACTTACTGAATGACATGACTTACTAAATGACTTGACTGACTTACTGAATGACTTGACTGACTTATTGAATGACTTAACTGACTTACTGAATGACATGACTTACTAAATGACTTGACTGACTTACTGAATGACTTGATTGACTTATTGAATGACTTGACTAACTTACTGAGTGACTTGACTGACTAACTGAATGACTTGACTGACTTACTGAATGACTTGACTGACTTACTAAGTGAGGTGACTGACTTACTGAGTGACTTGACTGACTTACTGAATGACTTGATTTATTTATTGAGTGACTTGACTGACTAAATGACTTAGTGACTCGACTGACTTACTAAGTGACTTGACTGACTTAGTGAATGACTTGATTGACTGAGTGACTTGACTGACTTACTGAGTGACTTAACTGACTTACTAAATGACTTCACTGACTTACTGAGTGACTTGACTGACTTACTGAATGACTTGATTGACTTAATGAATGATTTGATTGACTTATTGAGTGACCAGACTGACTTACTGAATGATTTGACTGACTTACTAAATGACTTCACTAATTTACTGAGTGACTTGACTGACTTACTGAGTTACTTGACTGGCTTACTGTGTGACTTGACTGACTGACTGAATGACTTACTGAGTGGCTTGACTGACTGACTGAATGACTTACTGAGTGACTTGACTGACTTACTGAACGACTTGACTGAATTACTGAGCGACCTGACTGAGTGACTTGACTGACTTTCTAAATGACTTGACTTACTGAGTGACTTGACTGACTTACTGAGTGACTTGACTGAATGACTTACTGAGTGACTTGACTGACTTACTAGGTGACTTGACTGACTTATTGAGTGACTTGACTGGCTTACTGAGTGACTTGACTGACTTACTGAGTGGCTTGACTGACCTACTGAGTGACTTGACTGACTTTCTGAATGACTTGACTGACTGACTTAAAGTTAGACACTCCAGTACAAGAATCAACTTCAGTACCAGAACCTCTACCATCCACCTCAGCCCAGTAGGACCACAACATAACTCTCCACTCTTTTCACAATCATCCACAAACACCAGCAGCACCCATCTGGAGATCTGGAGTTTATCTGGAGAGAGTTCCGGGGGTCAACGCCCCCGCGGCCCGGTCTGTGACCAGGCCTCCTTAGGTCAGTGTCCCAGGATGCGACCCACACCAGTCGACTAACACCCAGGTACCCATTTTACTGATGGGGAACATAGACAACAGGTGGAAAGAAACACGTCCAATGTTTCTACTCTGGCCAGAGCCCCTTAACTTAAGGTAAGAAATATTATTATTTCTGTTACAGTTGTAGTCTTAAGCAGTAAAAAAACATAATACATCACAACAATGAACTAAAACTACATATTTACTTTTATTTTTGTAAGACGTGGAGGCCTAAAAAAAAGTCGTTTGCTTTTTTTGGGGCTCCCTGGAACGTAACCTTATTATTCCCTTAAGTTCTTCAGTTCATCTAACTCGATTTTACCTAACACGGCATTTTCAGGAACGTAACCACCGTGCTAAATGACGGTCTACTGTACATAATTCAGCAGTGTATATACATAATTCTGCAGTGTATGTACATAATTCTGCAGCTCTGGCAACATTATGGTAAAATGTATTAATGGAGTTTATATATCTTTTCTATCATCCTCAGGAACACTGGAAATATAAGCCATTCAGTGATCATAAAGACGACAATGGTGATATATATGGTCGTGGTACACAAGATATGAAGTGTGTTGGAATACAGTATTTGGAAGCTCTTAAAAGCCTTAGGAAAGAAGGACATGAGTTCCTCAGGACAATTTACATTTCATTTATGCCAGGTAAGTCCTATCAATAAATGGTTTTAATCATAACTATAATTCTACACAAGTGGACTGGTAATAAAGCAGAAGATCTTGGTCAGATGACCAAAAGCTCCAGCTGTGGATCATCATATGACTAAGACCAGCATCAGGAAACACTTGTCTTGTTTCATGAATAATCTTACCTAACCTAACATAAGCCTATCAAATCAGGGAACAATTGTGGTTTAAACCATGGTGTGTCCTAAAACTTACAGGCCAGTGTGTTAATCACTGGGCCAGATAGCTCTAAGATTAATCCAATTTGAAATATTTTTATCTATCATTCATGATTTGTTTCCAGTTATGTTATTAATATGTCGTGAATCAGATAAGACTTTCGTGCTCGTCTAAGATTACTTTCGTAATATAATCCTTAACTGTTACTGATGTGTGAAAGATGGCTGCCAACTTACCCTCTCAAATATGTGAAAGATGGCTGCCAACTTACCATCTCAAATATGTGAAAGATGGCTGCCAACTTACCATCTCAAATATGTGAAAGATGGCTGCCAACTTACCCTCTCAAATATGTTAAAGATGGCTGCCAACTTACCATCTCAAATATGTGAAAGATGGCTGCCAACTTACCCTCTCAAATATGTGAAAGATAGCTGCCAACTTACCCTCTCAAATATGTGAAAGATGGCTGCCAACTTACCATCTCAATATGTGAAGATGGCTGCCAACTTACCCTCTCAAATATGTTAAAGATGGCTGCCAACTTACCATCTCAAATATGTGAAAGATGGCTGCCAACTTACCCTCTCAAATATGTTAAAGATGGCTGCCAACTTACCATCTCAAATATGTGAAAGATGGCTGCCAACTTACCCTCTCAAATATGTGAAAGATAGCTGCCAACTTACCCTCTCAAATATGTGAAAGATGGCTGCCATCTTACCCTCTCAAATATGTGAAAGATGGCTGCCAACTTACCATCTCAAATATGTGAAAATGGCTGCCAACTTACCATCCCAAATATGTGAAAGATGGGTGCCAACTTACCCTCTCAAATATGTGAAAGATGGCTACCAACTTGCCCTCTCAAATATGTGAAAGATGGCTGCCATCTTACCCTCTCAAATATGTGAAAGATGGCTACCAACTTACCCTATCAAATATGTGAAAGATGGCTGCCATCTTACCCTCTCAAATATGTGAAAGATGGCTACCAACTTACCCTCTCAAATATGTGAAAGATGTCTGCCAACTTACCATCTCAAATAAGTGAAAGATGGCTGCCATCTTACCCTCTCAAACATGTGAAAGATGTCTGCCAATTTGCCATCTCAAATATGTGAAAGATGGCTGCCATCTTACCCTCTCAAATATGTGAAAGATGTCTGCCAATTTACCATCTCAAATATGTGAAAGATGGCTGCCATCTTACCCTCTCAAATATGTGAAAGATGGCTACAAATTTACCCTCTCAAATATGTGAAAGATGGCTGCCAACTTACCCTCTCAAATATGTGAAAGATGGCTGCCATCTTACCCTCTCAAATATGTGAAAGATGGCTACAAATTTACCCTCTCAAATATGTGAAAGATGGCTGCCAACTTACCCCATCAAATATGTGAAAGATGGCTGCCAACTTACCCTCTCAAATATGTGAAAGATGGCTGCCAACTTACCCTCTCAAATATGTGAAAGATGGCTACAAATTTACCCTCTCAAATATGTGAAAGATGGCTGCCAACTTACCATCTCAAATATGTGAAAGATGGCTGCCAACTTACCCTCTCAAATATGTTAAAGATGGCTGCCAACTTACCCTCTCAAATATGTGAAAGATGGCTGCCATCTTACCCTCTCAAATATGTGAAAGATGGCTGCCAACTTACCCTCTCAAATATGTGAAAGATGGCTGCCAACTTACCCTCTCAAATATGTGAAAGATGGCTGCCAACTTACCCCATCAAATATGTGAAAGATTGCTGCCATCATACCATCTCAAATATGTTAAAGATGGCTGCCATCTTACCCTCTCAAATATGTGAAAGATGACTGCCATCTTACCCTCTCAAATATGTGAAAGATGGCTACCAACTTACCCTCTCAAATATGTGAAAGATTGCTGCCATCATACCATCTCAAATATGTTAAAGATGGCTGCCATCTTACCCTCTCAAATATGTGAAAGATGACTGCCATCTTACCCTCTCAAATATGTGAAAGATGGCTGCCATCTTACCCTCTCAAATATGTGAAAGATGGCTGCCATCTTACCCTCTCAAATATGTGAAAGATGGCTACCAACTTGCCCTCTCAAATATGTGAAAGATGGCTGCCAACTTACCCTATCAAATATGTGAAAGATGGCTACCAACTTACCCTCTCAAATATGTGAAAGATGGCTGCCAACTTACCCCATCAAATATGTGAAAGATGGCTGCCAACTTACCCTCTCAAATATGTGAAAGATGGCTGCCATCTTACCCTCTCAAATATGTGAAAGATGACTGCCATCTTACCCTCTCAAATATGTGAAAGATGGCTGCCATCTTACCCTCTCAAATATGTGAAAGATGGCTGCCATCTTACCCCATCAAATATGTGAAAGATGGCTGCCAACTTACCCTCTCAAATATGTGAAAGATGACTGCCATCTTACCCTCTCAAATATGTGAAAGATGGCTGCCAACTTAACCCATCAAATATGTGAAAGATGGCTGCCAACTTACCCTCTCAAATATGTGAAAGATGGCTGCCAACTTACCCCATCAAATATGTGAAAGATGGCTGCCAACTTACCCTCTCAAATATGTGAAAGATGGCTGCCAACTTACCCCATCAAATATGTGAAAGATGGCTGCCAACTTACCCTCTCAAATATGTGAAAGATGGCTGCCATCTTACCCTCTCAAATATGTGAAAGATGGCTACCAACTTACTCTCTCAAATCAATTCATTTTTTAAAATTACTACTGCATTTAAATTTACGAAAAAAAAACTTTCCAAAGAAATTTAACATGTGGATGAAACTCAAAAACTCACAGAGAAGTAGTTTGTTGCTACAGTTTATTACCAAAAGTAAAAGTTTTCGTTACTTTTATAGCTTTCCTATATACCAACATTGGCCTTCCCATGGGTATGGGGCACAGACACATGCAGACACTTACAGACACTTACAGACACATGCAGACACATGCAGACACATGCAGACACATGCAAACACATGCTTTGTCCAATAATTCAGATATAATATTTTTCTAAGGACACTTCCAAGGTCAGTCACTTTTTTTTCACTGGCTAAAGACTTTTTTTAAATGGAAGTTTCCAAAATTCTAAAAAGCTTGAAAATACGATTAAAAAAATATGAAAAATTAAATATAAAATCCACTGGCGTATTGTATTAGTTTTAATATTTACAAAAATATTATGAATTCAAGACAAAATACTGAACTAAACACAGGGAGAAATTGATGATACTAGGCCTGGTCATGGACCGGGACACGGGGGTGGACCGGTCCATGACTAGGCATAGTAATAGTCAAAATAATAGAGAAGCACATAATGGGTCCAGGGTACAGGGCCACCCTTGTGGCGCGTCCATGACAAGGCCTGGTAAGAGTCAAAAGATTATAGAAGCACATAATTGGTCCAGGGACTGGACCACCCCCGTGGCCCGGTCCATGACTAGGCCTGGTAATAGTCAAAAGATTATTTTTTTTATTATTAACACATTGGCCGATTCCCACCAAGGCAGGGTGGCCCGAAAAAGAAAAACTTTCACCATCATTCACTCCATCACTGTCTTGCCAGAAGGGTGCTTTACACTACAGTTTTTAAACTGCAACATTAACACCCCCTCCTTCAGAGTGCAGGCACTGTACTTCCCATCTCTAGGGCTCAAGTCCGCCCTGCCGGTTTTCCTGAATCCCTTCATAAATGTTACTTTGCTCACACTCCAATAGCACGTCAAGTATTAAAAACCATTTGTCTCCATTCACTCCTATCAGACACGCTCACACATGCCTGCTGGAAGTCCAAGCCCCTAGCACACAAAACCTCCTTTACCCCCTCCCTCCAACCTTTCCTACGCCGACCCCTACCCCGCCTTCCTTCCACTACAGACTGATACATTCTTGAAGTCATTCTGTTTCGCTCCATTCTCTCTACATGTCCGAACCACCTCAACAACCCTTCCTCAGCCCTCTGGACAACAGTTTTGGTAATCCCGCACCTCCTCCTAACTTCCAAACTACGAATTCTCTGCATTATTCACGCCACACATTGCCCTCAGACATGACATCTCCACTGCCTCCAGCCTTCTCCTCGCTGCAACATTCATCACTCATGCTTTACACCCATATAAGAGCATTGGTAAAACTATACTCTCATACATTACCCTCTTTGCCTCCAAGGACAAAGTTCTTTGTCTCCACAGACTCCTAAGTGCACCGCTCACCCCTTTTCCCCTCATCAATTCTATGATTCACCTCATCTTTCATAGACCCATCCGCTGACACGTCCACTCCCAAATATCTGAATACATTCACCTCCTCCATACTCTCTCCCTCCAATCTGATATCCAATCTTTCATCACCTAATCTTTTTGTTATCCTCATAACCTTACTCTTTCCTGTATTCACTTTTAATTTTCTTCTTTTGCATACCCTACCAAATTCATCCATCAACCTCTGCAACTTCTCTTCAGAATCTCCCAAGAGCAGTGTCATCAGCAAAGAGCAACTGTGACAACTCCCACTTTATATGCGATTCTTTATATTTTAACTCCACGCCTCTTGTCAAGACCCTCGCATTTACTTCTCTTACAGCCCCATATATAAATAGATTAAACAACCACGGTGACATCACACATCCTTGTCTAAGGCCTACTTTTACTGGGAAATAATCTCCCTCTTTCCTACATACTCTAACTTGAGCCTCACTATCGTAAAAACTCTTCACTGCTTTCAGTAACCTACCTCCTACATCATACACCTGCAACATCTGCCACATTGCCCCCCTA